CCCTCCTCTCCTTCAATCTGTTGGTTCTCAAACGCGAGCGCCTCACTACTGCAGTATAATAAACCATTTTAATTGCCTTTTTCTGGGTTCTTTGAGCAATAACTGTCGGCTGTCAGCATTGAGTGTAGGGTGCTCGCACTGGCTTTACTTGATCTAGTCCTTGGCCCCGTGTTATATGGAAATGTGACCAATTGTTTGGACGTGTTTTGTTATTTAATTATCTGCTTCTCGTTGTTGCAACTAAATCTCCTGTTCTCGAAAGTTTACTTAGGGCTTATCAACCTGGTTCTTCGATGGCCGTAACTTTGCATCCATCAAAGGTCGACGGTGAGCTCTGTCGGTTCGATAGTTTTCGCCTATTTTTGCTCTGGGAGACAGTTCGATCTAGTTCTCGTCGGCTAGACTTTTACCAGCGTGTGGTTTCTATCATCAAATAAACTGGACGGAAATTGTTCACTGAATTACGTTATAACTTCTTTTGGAGACAATACCTCGCGTGTTGCACACATTGATCAACCAGATTGAAAATCGCATAACTCATCTTACGCTTCATAACCAAACTTCATAAGTAATCCCATTCACATTGTTCACCCTATTTCAACTCCGCCTTATTTTTGTCATTTTACAATTCCTTTTGATGAGTTAAATGCAACCCACAAAATTAAACAAATTGATACTTGTTTCGGTTTCTCCCATATGATGAAACCAATAGGTTTCATCTAGGTTTTTTTGGCGCGGTTGTTTTCAGCTGATCTGACCATTCGCTGTAAACTACCCTCTGGGTTTGTTATCTTAGCCTGGACTGCAACAATCAGTTCTGTTTACTAAGCCGCACGCGAAGACTTCGAGCTGTTGGTCAGTGCATTGGACCTAATTGAAATTCGGAACGCGCATCATCAGTAATCCTGTTCTCTGCGTGTGCGTGCGTAAACTGCGATTGTTTACTTTATTCCTTTAGTGTCTTCCTGAACGTCGTCGTATGTTTACCGTGTGTATCACACTGACACACTGTTGGACCACAAAGTTCTTCATCTTACATTACTCTCGTGCGCAATGGATGGGCGTCAGTCAGTCCTATTTGGACCGTGTTTCTCTCTAGATCTAATCGAACGTCATTCGCACGGCATCAAATCCTTTCTTTGCTATCCCCGTGGCTTTTTTCATGCCCTTACGGGTTGGCCGGGGTATGAGCAGGAAAAGCGTGTCTATTGATTGAAACTTTCAACGCTTATGTCGGCAGAAATCTGTGTTAACGAGAGATGTTCCTGTGTGTGTGCGCGCGCATAAGTTTTGATTTGCTTATGATTGTCTAACTTACGCTTTGATTTGGCCCTTGTGTTTCAACCTCATATCGTAAACTCATGTTTTGAACCCTCTGGCACGCTGAACCGCATGCGCGCGTGCGTATTCATCCTCACACCAGTGGGCGTTTGCAACAACTTTCCACCGTAGCGCATAGCAATCATCTCGCCACTATCTTTCGTCTCTCATCCCCTCTTGCCTGCCTAACTTCAATCTCACTGATAGATCAGTGTCTGTGCGATATTAGTTGAAATATAAAAACTGCCCGATGTAGTCACATTAGAAATGAAGACAGCAGATTTAACTGCTGGTTACTGTTGCATTACGTTGTGTATTGTCCACCTGCGGGACCTACCTCTGTCTTAATTTTTGTCTGGCTATGCTAATCTATCGAAATCCATTTTTATTTTCTTTTTATCTCAAGTCACAGACGATATGTGACTGTAATGTGTACCACCATTCCCACTATGTGTATTTTCGTACAGACTCACCGGAGACTATCTTCACTAATACTCCCCGATCTCGCTGATCCAAAGACCGTATTCATTAGTCTTTGGCACGGTAGCTTCTTTATAATTTGTTTTCGTACACATTGACGGGACAGGTAACTTGCAGTTGCAGAGACTGTTCACTCTATGAGAACCAGTAATTTGTGGCTATGGAAGAGGGTAAAGCGCGTAAGAGCGTAGTTAGTGGTTTCGTTAGGTGACCGCTGAGCCTTGACTCATAATGGATGTTCCACAACCACCACCCCCTCTTTCTTGATCTTGCCTCCATAATCAAACAGTATGCTCCTCCCATACTTTTGGAGTTCATTTCGAGTTGCTGTTCAACATAGTTGGCATTTGACAACTCTCAGTCCCGCTTCCTGGCCGTTCTTAGTTGGCATCAATCCTAGCCCTAAACATCGTTTGCCCATTTGTGTTTATATCAAGAAAAACGACAAAAGATTAATAATCCTGTATGGGTAATTGATTGTATAAACGGAATCGCGTACTCGAGATTCAGCCGAAGACCGCATTTATTGTTATGCTGTTTGTTGAATTCAAATTTCCAATCTACCTAAAATAGCCTGAGAGGTTTTTGATGTGATGCGCTGTTCATTTCATGCATCAGGCCTAGGATCTGTTGTTCACTTCAGAGATCTGCTCTTCAGTAAATTTTCTGCAAAAGATGCCTCATACATACCAGAATTCGTGGTCGGTAAACCACTTCGTTTGCAGTCTCTCATGCGCAGATTGAGCAGCATGCTTTCAATGTTGACACCGTGATCGCCACGTTGTACTAAACCTTCTCTGATGCTCGCTCCTGATCATTTTTTGTCAATTTTTCTGGATGCTCCTTGAGTTTGGGACCAACAACCGTGACAAACGGAGATTTTGATGTTCAAACCCAACAGTTGTGTTCAGTAAACTGAAAGAACTATATATTTTTAAAACAATTTCAACACGTAACCAACTACAGAGAACTGGCAAATGTGCCACAACATGTGGACAGAAAGAAATCTGAAGAATGTGTTCATGGCCTGCAAGACAACAGGACGGCGTTCAGGATCCGCAGTCCTTTGGGGGGGGGGGGGGGGGGGCGGTGTCCAGTTCACTGAATCATACGCCCTTTGGACGAGGTCAAACGTTCAAGGTGCCCAATACACCTCGATGCCCAATCGAGCCGGTGACCACTGCCGCGACCAGGAAGGTGTGCTTGCGGTTCGTACGCCTCATCTTGGTTGGTTTGCAATCATGGTTTTCAGCCAACTCCTTTAGGTAGACTACCAGTGATCCACCAAACTCGGTTATAGCCCCGGATGTGGGCTTTTCGTCCTCTGACTTTGGTGGGAAAACACCTCTGCCAGGAGAAGGCAGTGAGTGGGGCTTCCTCAGCAGAGGCTATTTGCGACGTTTGGTCCATATAGGAGCATTTTGTGAGGTGTAAGGAAATGGTGACCAATCACAAACCGGAACAACCACCCCGACCGTTCTGAGGCTTTCGGTGGCCGAACGAACTATAAATGTGTATGTTGAAAACTTCAGTTTAAAATAGGTGTGATGTTGCGTGAGGAGACGGTACGACTGGTGAATTGGAATAACTCCGTTACGGGATTCTGTTTGATATCTTGATTGGTCCATTGTTCGTTGGCTTGCATTATCTGTGATCGAAAGTGAAAGAATGCAATAAAAGTATCCATGTAACTCACGTTCGTGAGCAACGGAATGCATACGTATCATTCTACTATTCTACCACTGTCACACCTGTATCAACATCAGAATCCAGTGTTGCTGTCATAGGATACAAAACGAAATATCTGCTAGTGGAAGTGGGTTTATCATTTTTTCTGACATCGGAGGTCGTTAAACAGTTAATATTCCATAGGTGTTCCGGATCATTTCGAAAAATTTGGGCGTTGTGCTCATGGTAACAATAGAATCAGGTTTGTTTTAGCCACAACGTGAGTACCAAAACACAAGATTTTCGAGAAACCGATCAAACTGACTTGATAAAGGCCTTCCAAGAATGTCGAAACGTTGTCACCGAAATCTTGTGTTTTGGTACTCACGTTGTGGCTAAAACAAACCTGATTCTATTGTTATCGGAGGTCGTTCTTTGTTTTGCCGATCAGTCGTTTTAACTTAAAATGGTGTGTTGGTGTTCGAACACTGCCTTTCTCTATCTCAGGCTGGGCGGCACCACTAACATTGTTGGGCTTCCCTTACCACGAGTGCTACACCATTGACGTTTATCGCTTACACGACTTGTTCAGCATCAAATAACCGGAATTCCTTATCCGTTCTCGCAGAACTTGCTCTGCCTATCATCAGAGAGCAACTGACTCTTGCCTGACCATCTGAAGTTAACTTCATATCTCGTACACGTTTGTCCTCTTCGTAACCGCACTGGTGTTTATCAGTTCCCCATCTCTTAATGATCAAAGTCGTGAATTTTTTAAAACCATTCTCTTCGCAATAGTTTTTGTCCGATGAAACGATAGCTTTGTTGCCTTCTGGTTGCATCGCTTCTGTGGTTTATACTGTTGTGGTAAACAAAGTTATCTATATATGCAAATAAGCAGATTTATTTGGTTTTGATATCAGTGAGTGTGTAGGGGCTCAAAACGATACTATCTGGTCGTTTGACGTTTGTGCGTTCCAACAACCGGTTCATCCACGTTGGCTCATATCTCCGTAATCAGGGCAGCGGGAGTTTTAGAAGCAGTCATTTTTCATTGGCGCTCAGATGTACAAAATCCAGGTCGATCGATCAGCCCTTATGCGTTTTTTTAAACGTCATTTAACATCTCTGCGTTTGTCTGCAGTAATAAAGCATTGGTTCAATGTCACACATATTGGAATAGTAAACGATTATCTATTGCGATTGGCTTTTCCCTAACTTCCATAACCCAATAGCATCTTGAAGTGAAAGTGCGAATTTATTGTCTGTAGCTAGGTCAATCTAGACATACACGTGCACACGGGTCTGTTATTATCCCTATTAAGATGGATAAGGTCGACGGGAGGCCTTCTTGTCTAGCCCGTTCAAAACCTACCTTAACCGGATCATCTAGTTGTCAGTGCAACTAATGGACCGTGGTCACTTCGTGTACGGAAGTGCAGTTTTATATTTGTGCCATGTGATCTGTCATCTTTATATATGCACTTGCGGTAATCCTCAATGCACCTTTCGCTCCGTTTTCCCGATTGCAGGAAGTAATGCGTGATCCGTGGTTAAATACTGGTTTCGATGCTGTATTGCGACCGTTCACAGAACCTCCAGCAGACTACTGTGATCCCGAGCGAATCGGTAAGTTTGTCTGTTTCCTGGATCCGGCAATTTAGCTCAGCCTACCTCAGTCTGATTGTGTATCGAAGATTGGTTGGTGAAGAAATACTGGTGACCGATCTCTTTGTCTGACTTGGGCATGTGTTTCTATGACTTATGCCGTCGCATATTACTTCCTTTGTGTGTGTTGTTTGCTGGAGCGGGCAGTCAATGGAAAAAGATTAAGGGTGACCCAGTATGAGGGACTGAAAGCTTGATCGGAGGACTTCACCAATGAGGTCATTTCAGTGCTTCCCGATTGGGGACTTCGTGACCGAAGTAATCAATGGTCGGATTTACCGACCGATATAGCTGAGTGATCCTCGTGAACCTAGTTACTTTCTTCGGTCACTTTGTTAGTCCTCATTCGATATCTATATATTGATCCTATTCTGAACTCTTGCTGTTATTTACCCCTTGACAGTTCAGTAGAATGGGCATTCGTCTCAGTTTTCGCAACTATTAACTTTACAGTTTCGTGCACCGGTTCTGGTCGTTGTCTTTCGACTGCTCATTTGATCGAACAGTAATGAAAGACGAGACAGTAGAAGTAACAGCGGAGAACAACGCCACGAGAAAGGGACACAATCCACGCGGAATAAATATGCACAGAAAGTGAACGAAAACACATATGCCACTGTGTGCGACGTTCATTTCTGTTTCGGAATGCTTTCAACTATATGGGGAAGGGGGACAGTTTGTTCGACCATAAGTATCGTGCTTTTGTACGCTGGTTTTGTTTTCTGTCTTTTGTGTCACCAAGATCAATATGGTTAATGTCACTGGATCTGGATAAGAACTGAACAGACCCGAAAAACGGGAATATCTTTATCGATCTAACTAAAAAAAATGGCGAGGCAGAGATGAGTCTCATCAGATGTAATGTCGGTAATGATCAATTTGCGTTTTCAGCATTTAGAGTCGTCAAGTTTTTTAGTCTTTACGTTTGGAAAGCACAACACGCACACTTTTTTAAAGGTACGTTCAACATGTGTATACCACAAAAGATTGTGATATACTACGACGCTTAAATAGTTCGTGTATGTAATATTCGGAAGAGTTTAGCTGCAAGCGGTGTGAAGTGAAAGATTATGAATAATTGACTTATATAGAGAGTCATATAAAAGGGATATCATTACATCTTAGAACCTTTTAGCTGCAAGTAGCGATATGTACACCAGTCGCACTGGTTAGTTAAGCACCCCTAGAGAGGACACGCAGAATTAGTGCACTGGCATTGCAGTTTCAATCATTTTTCAGACTGTATTGGGTGTCCCACGTTCTTGAGGTTTTTCTATAGTTGAACAGCTTTTTGTACCATGAAACAAATTTCGTGTCTTGGAGAAAAATACGATTGAGATATGTTCGCATTTATGCCGTTGCACTTGGGTTCTGAAGTGTTTTCTCTTTATCGTGTTGCCATAATCAAAACCATGGTGAACATGATAACACATTTGGTTGGCTGTCCCCCTCCACTAAACACAGCACTTGTCATGTTTTTTTCTCCTGTGGAACCATTTCATACTACGCGATGAAGCTCTTTATAAACAAATAAACACATGACAAGACTGTTTTCCTTGAACCGGGGATAATAGTTATTCCTGTGCACTCAATCAATGACACTTTATGGGGATATTCAATTCATCCATCGGTTGATCGATCGACATTTTCTTCCGTGGCTTTCCATCCGGTGTGTGATGTACGTAATACTCACCATCTCCCTGTCATTCGATTGCTTTTCACATTACTGAAGTAAGAGCAAGCCGAAGAACGAATCCAAGTACCATGCAATCAACCGCGTATAAGGATACAGTAAAGACATGTTGGTCTTCGAAACGCAAAATTATTCCATAACCGAAAATGTTGTTAGAGTTTCATTCTGAAACGACAGCAGCTTGGGTTTTCTGGTTTCGCTCTACTTAATTGTACATACAAGTACCCAATCAGTAAGAACTTTTCTTGCCGATGCTTCAGCGGATTCCGGAGGTTTTTCAGATTTGAATGCGACAACTCTCTGATCGTTGTGTGGATATAGTCGACTGCACCGACTATAAACAAATCTTTCATGATATTATTTCGGTCATGACGTGCTTGGTCCCATTCCGATTGGTAGATGTCAGGTATACGATAACGATACGAAATCGCCCGACCCTTTGTTCAATGCAGAGATTCAAGTTTCGCACAAAAACTAACAATTCAAATAGCTTCTTGTTACGATTGTTTCCCACTGGTCTGGAATTGTTGTGTGGCTAACTGTGGCTTTTGCCAGTGCGAGGTAGGTGCACAGACCGGCCCACTCTGTGTGATTGGTCCGTTCATCCATGTGAGTCATTCTATGCTAGTTGGCTTGTATGAAATTTACTGTTCAACCCCATAACCTTGGAACTCCCCATCCTCATGTGTTATATTCCGTTCACACGCACACACAAATACGCGTATAGTCCTGACCAGCATAGTGCACACGCGAGTGAGCGGGTTCAGACGCACACTGCCCATGCGGTCGATCAAGTTGGTCTTGGCCAACCACTGTTTTGGTTGTCCCCATTCTGCCGCTACCGACGACGACATGTGGCTGTGTGCCGCCAAATCGATCTATAAGTGCACGCACGCACCAACCGACTGGAAAACGATCGGGCCAAAATGTGGTCTTCCTCTAGTTGGTTGTGGCACTCGAACTGCTGGTGTATTGGGTTGGGCAAGGCGTAGTTCAACCAACTTGGTTGTTGTGGGGTCCCGTTATGTAGCTGTGGTTATATTGTCCTGGACCGAACCGTTCTCTGGTGTGTATGTGGCACAGGTTATTGACGTGATCCGTTTGTTATTAGACACAGCACCTTGATAATCTTTCGCGTTCTGTGTTAGATATTGGACCAAGTTCTCTCTTGTTCATTTGGTAGGGCTTTCTGATTAGTCATATTGCGTCGAGGCTGGTATAGATAGTGCTGGTAATGACTGTTTTTCTGTCTGTCTTCAGATGACCTCTGGTGTTACTGCGGTCTAGGTCCACTTCTTTCTTCGCTTTGTTCTTTGTGCGATGAAATGTGAATTGCTTGGTGGACACTTAAATAATGCTGTCCGTATTTCTTCTGATTCACTGCTTTTCGTTCCTTACACAATCACCAATTTAATCATGTGCTTCCTCATCCAGAAATGAGTAGACGGAACACAGCAACTATAGCCGCCGTACGGAAGCGCACGACTAATGGTTGTATAAACTAAAACTGAATCCTGTGCAAAAGCATTATTTGCAAAAGTCTGAAACGTCCTACTATGTGTAGTGCACACCAGTGAATGGAAAACGTTGAAGGTGGTCAAACTAAGACCTGGCAAGAGGGCATGAAAAACCTGACCAGGAGACTGGGTCATGTAGACCGCATTTATTGTTATGCTGTTTGTTGAATTCAAATTTCCAATCTAC